TGGGGTGGGTTGGGTGGGAAAACAGCAGGTCCACATCAGCTTGTACAGTTGCCAATAAATTCATCCTGCTTGAACAAATAAACATGATGATGATGATGATGATGATGATGATGATGAAGTGCTACCAAATACTAACATGGCCTAAGCAGCGGGCCATGAATTTATGCTAACGAGGCAAGATGGCGTCTCCGCGAAAATCCCGTGGTTGACAGCAAACATCATCATTCGTTTTCCTCTGTCGTTTTATACGACACTGCCACCCACACAAGAAGTAGGGGAAGATTTTTTGATGTGGAGAGAATTATTACCCGGCGAAAATGTGACTCGGTAAGTCTTGTTAGTATTCTTTTACTCGTCGTGTTTTTATTATTCCTTGAGTCGGCAAGTAGTTTCTCACGTTATTGAAGTATATATATTCTGTATATAAATGTGATTGTAGGGTTATGATTACTTGTTGAAATGGAGAGGATGGCCACTGAAAGCTTGCAGCTGGGAGCCAGCTGAAAATCTTATTCTGGATTTGCTAAGGTTTATTAGAGATTGCAATCTTATTTTTCTAAAAATAAAAAAAAATTAATAAAGAAGAGTATTACGGAATTAAGCAATCTTTTCTAATTTTTCAGACCTTTTTTGAGGCCAACTCAAATCAGCGACGAAAGGCTTATAGAAGGAAGTCGGTGATTTGCCGTTGGCATGGTAACTGGTCTAAAAAGTTCCTCACACTCACCCTTTTATATGCGGATCTGGAATTAGACATACGGCGCTTTGTTTCACATGATAAAGGAATTCCTTCAGAACACTGAGGGCATTTTTTATTTCAAAGAAATGACTTCACAAGGTTCAAATACCTTCCCAAACGCTCGTGGTACTTTTTGAACGAACATGGAGAGGGATTTGCCATGGACTAATCCCGATTAAGATTAAGCCCGTGTTGTCAGGGTCTTCAGTTCATCATGTTAACAAAGATGGGATACTCTACAAGGCTCCTAGGTATCCCTTGGAGAAGGTATGTGTTGAAATGGCAAAAAAGCCATGCAACTTAGAGAATGTTTTTATGTACTTTAGTGTTTTTGTCTTAGACTGCCCTGCATCAAAAGCATAACATGTGTGACTGTGTAAAATATTCCATTTTGTAATTTGTTAGTTTGTGAAATGAATGGAAACTCATAGGTCTAACCTTTAATCTAATAGTTGATGTTTGTTTAATAAATTGTCAATTAATCTCAGAGCACATCTTTTGTGGCATCCCATTTATTGGACTTCTGGGGGTGAATTCTCCGGCACTCATTCAACTTTTCAACCCCTGTGATTGATTTAGAATTCAAAAAACACTTATTTTGTGAAGCAATTTGTGGTTTACATTAATTGAAAATGATAATTGGTTGATGTGGTACATGTATTCTTTGGTAAAGCATGATCAATATTTGTTTGACTTCTTTAAATCTATTTTCTCCAAAACAGTTTTCTGCCAGTATTTTTAAATGGCTTATTGCCTTGAAATTTATTCTGTGTGATATCTCTCTGATGGATGAAAATTTAGAGAGAGAACTTCATGCATCTAAATTGATTTTTGGTCACTAGACCATTATTTTTCAAATTTATGGCCAGTCTGATTTGGTTCTCTGGTTGTTGACTTATTTTTTTATCCACTGATTGAGCCCATACCTTTTGAAGAAACAACTCCTTTGAACTTCCTGGTTTTGATATAAATTACTCTAGATCAAAATTAGTGTCCAAGCTTTTGAATGTATGTATGGAGTTTGTTATTTTCAGTTACAAGACTGTCAATCTTTGCTTTTGCCACAGCAAGGTCTTCACTGGCATCTTTGTTGGAAGCTTCACATACAACCATTTTGTTGTAAAGCTCTTCACAACGGGCCTTCAAAACTTCATTTTAATTTTCTCTCAATGCTGCATCAGCTCTATCCTTAATTTTTTTATGTCTCACTGTGGTTTCCAATCCAGATATAATTAAGATTTCGTCTGCCCTCAGGGCAAGCTTAAGTTCGCTCTGCTGTAAATCCCGGTATGATTTCCCCTTTTTTCTTTTAAATCTATTATTGACCTCCTCACAGATGCCCTCTAATCTGATGCAATCCTCCTTTATCTTAGCAGAGTACTTCATAGCCAAGAAAACATTTAGTAGATCAACATATCTACAGCTTATCTGGCGTGTTGATGCAGCTTGCTTCGCTTCGTACAAGTGTCGCAAACAGTCATATTTGATGATTACTGTCAAGAGTATATCCTCACAGGAAACACTTTGCTAGCGAACACATTTTAAGCAAAAATCGTTCCCGACCGTCACTAACAGCGTTCTTAAACTTCTCCACATCAAGTAAATTAAACTTGTCTGACATATTTCATCCAACCGTTGAGAATTCTAAAATATTAAACAAAAAGAGTTTAGAAAGTTCCGGTAGAAAGCGGTGAAAGTAGAGAGGAAATATATTTTCTTTTTCCCGCGAATATTTGAAGCTACATCGTTATGTTTGCTGACCAATTTTACCGTCGGCTTAAGGCATATCCTAGAGCCCTACAGC